CTGTACACTGTGTCATTCATTGTAAAAATCTAGTTGCCAAAAATCTGAGTGAACGCCTATATAGGTCATTATATTATGTCATTAAAGCGGTCAACAAAACCAGAAGCAATTCACTGAATGACAGATTGTTTGGACAACTTTGTATTGAAAACAATGAAGAATTCAATCGCTTGCAGCTTCATACAGAAGTTTGTTGGCTATCAAAAGGTGCCTGTTTGGATCAGTTTTATAAACTCTTTGACTCAGTGCTAGTGTTCCTAGAAAACAAAGATGATGCTTTACAAGCCAACTTGATTGATTCCAAAAAAGACATAGCTTATTTGACAGACTTGTTTAATAACTTTAATGAAACAAATCTACAGCTCCAAGGCGATGAGCTGAATTTAATCAAAACAAAAACTGTTATTTCTGTGTTTGTGGCAAAACTTCTTCTGTACAAATGAAATTTAGGATGAGGAGAATTCAGCCAGTTTCCAAATTTATCAACAGTAGAAAAACATGATGAAGACTTGCTTACCTATTGTCAGCACTTGGAGGCTCTCTATTCTGACTTTAATCAACGATTTGAAGATATTCTTCAAACGAACATACCCGACTGGGTTTTGGACCCTTTTTCAAGTACAGGCACAGAAGAATCTCCAGAATTACAAGAAGAACTTATAGAAGTAACAACAAATGAGGAACTTAAATTTAAATTCAAAGATGGCTACCAACAGTTCTGGCTGCAAAAGCAGATACCTACACTGTATCCTGGATTAAGGGCTATAGTACAAAAGTTTCTAATTGCATTTCCTTCAACATATTTAGTGGAACATGGGTTCAGTGTGGTCAGAGATCTGTTAACTAACAAAAGAAACTGACGGCAAATAGCTAATCGCAGTGATTTAAGATTGCTGCTGACAAAAATAGAGCCAAACATTATTAAATTGATAGCAGTGCACCAGGTTCATCCTTCTCATTAGGATTATTTTTAATGTCATTTGTGATTTTAATATTATCCTTTGTTATCTTAATTTTCTGTGTGTATGCAAATGTTACTATGGTTGATTTTATAAAATACTTTTATGATTTCGAGCTTCAAACAACATCTTTCTTTACAACAACATCTTCAAACAACATCTTTCTTTACTATGTGCAAATTTGTCACTGCATCTTTTTGTCCACTTCTTGAAGGTAGATTTCCAGGGGGCCGCTGAGTAATTTTTTTTCTGAAAAGGGGGCGGTAGGCCAAATATGTTTGGAAACCACTGATCTATACTGATGATAAGCTAATTAAAAATTATATGCTATAATGCTAGAAATTAAAACCCAAGACAAAGTGGTTAGCTGCTCTATGGTTAAATGGGCTCAAAATTTGGGGCATAATATTGATCTATATCAATGGTCCAAGGTATGGAAAACAAGCATAAAAATTACTAAAGCAATTTCTTATAAAGAAAACATTTATAAAATGCTCTATAGATGATATATTACACCAGATAAGCTATCCAAGTTTTATCCTAATATGTCAAATGATTGTTGGAAATGTCAAAAAAAATGTTGGTTCTTTTTTCATATGTGGTGGACTTATGATAAAAGCAAAAAGTTTTGGGCTTGGACACATGAAATATTGCAAATAAATAAATAAATAATTAAAAGTAACTTACCCTTTGTACCAGAATTGTTTTTGTTGAATATACTTCCAGAAAATTGTAAAAAGCAAAACTCTTATCTTATTTTACATGTAGTTACAACTGCTAGAATATTATATGCTAAATATTGGAGAAGAAAGGAGACATCTTCCAAAGAAGAAATAATAACCAAACTACTTGAAACTGCTGAAATGGATAAATTAACTTAAATTTGAAAGGACATAAAGAGGAAAATTTTGAAAATACATGGTCAAGACTTTACAGACGGATTGAAGAAGAAGCAAACTCCGGAGCATGAGAGAAGACAGGAGGGCCTGGTGTGATGTGGTTCATGGGGTCATGAAGAGTCGGACTCGACTGTGTGACTGAACAACAAGAACAACAAAGAGGAAAATGTTGAAAATACATGGTCAAGACTTTACAGATGGATTGAAGAATACATAAAATGAAGCCTGAATATAACTGCAATAGAGAACAATGAGAGCATCTATAATAAAAACATAGTACAAAAAAATCTTGACATAAATGTACCTTTCATACCAGAATTATTTTTATTAAATATTATTCCACAAAATGTTAATATACAGGATGTATGTATGACTATACAGATTGTAACAACAGCTAGAATGTTATATGCAAAATACTGGAAAAAAGAAGAAACACCGTCAAAGGAAGAACTAATGTTCTGGTTGTTGGATGCAGCAGAAATGGATAAACTAACTTTACAATTACATGAAAAACAAAAAAATTACTTTTAAAGAAAATGGGTGAGATTTTACAACTGGATACAAAATTATCTTGGAGAACTTAAAACATGAAATGTATCAAAAGCTTTACAGACGAGGGCTAGAAGACCTAGAGTTTACAAGTATACCGTAACTTAAGCTGATGTAAGAGTATAGTGTCCATTATGTTAGTATTTTTTCTGTTCTGTATCTCATTTCTTTTCTTTTCATTTCTTTGTAGTATCTTTCCTTGAAACCAATAAAATCTGTTTATAAAAAAAGAGAGAGTATCTATAATAAAATGTGCAAAAGTTATATTTAACACTATAAGATGTAGAAATATACTTTTACTGAGAGATGTATGGATAACCTAACAGATAATTCAGAGTTGGAGAGATTTTCCCACGGTATGCCTGTATGTATTATTATTGGTTTTGTTTCTTTGTCTTTGTTTGTTTGTTATAAAAATAAAATCAATTACATGGAAAGTTTACGTGGAATTAACCTTTGGAACCGTAACTATTCCTAGTGTTTTTGTTTTTAGCATGTGAAAATATCAAGGAGACTTACTCGCATATTCACCGGTGTCCATAGGTCCTTCAGGATGAAATGAACCAGACCGGAAACTACTTCCAGTTTGATTTATTAAGTTTCTCTAGTCAACTTCACAACGCCATTGATCTACGTGAGATTCGGGGCTGAGCGAGTGGCTTGCATTGAGTGTCATAGTCGGAAAATGGAACGAAGCCAATCACCAACCTTTTCCAACGGCGGCTGTTCGTTGACTAACCCTTATAGATACGTTTGCTGTTCCCGACGGGTTCTTGTTAATTTTGTGCAGACTGTCATGCACACCAGAGCCCTTTATTCGAGGAAATGTGTAACAATATGAATGGACAGTACTGGATATTTATAATGGAGGGGGAAGATGAAGAATGAACTGTAAAGAGGCTTAACATGAATAGCAATTCTGACACGCGTGGCGGGCGGGATCTGTTGATAGGAGAGAGGAACCAAAGAACCGGGCAGCAGGGGCCGGTGGGGCCTGTTTGAGTGAGACACCGGATAATTGCGTTGGGGCGGGACTAAGGCTGCTGCGGGAGCAGCAATGAAGGAGCTGGCGCAGGATCTGAAAATGGAGTGTGATATTCTGGACGCGCTGGAGGCTTTGGGGTGAGGTGCTGGGAGAGAGAGAGCTGCGGCATGAGGCGGGGGATGGAGAGACTTCCGTTGTGGGCGGTGGGCGCAGCAGAGTGGGTGGAAGGACTGCTTATGATGTGCATTTACTCCAGTTCACATAAAGATACCGCCTCGGCTACCCAGAAAGGCGGACATGAGCCAGCCCTCCCTTTTCTTGGCCAGCAAGCCTCACAGTACCCTCAGCACTCTTTTCCTGTTCCCTTCCCAGTATCAAACGCCACCCCCCACCCCGTTCCCTGTGAAATCCGGAAAGGGGTGTTTTTTTTGCGCTCTTTCGGCCGCATGTGTGTTGAATGATAGTTACACAGATGCACATTAATGTCAGGCAGGTTTATTTAAAAGTCAGTCTGTATTAAGTGGAGAAGACTGGATATGATTGCACTGTTAGATGTAATCTGGAAGGGAGCTGTTTATAACGGTGCGCAGGCTAAACTTTCACATCTAAAAATCTTCTTTATGAGAAATTGGATGTGAAATTATTTCAAGCTGGCAGTTCTGATTCCGTGTTTTTTTTAAATTAAGACAAAGAAGGAAATCCAATAATGAAACAGTAGATGTGTTCATATGCTGACTGCGTATAGATTTGAACACAGATCTGATTTGAGCATAGGATCTGATTTTTTGCTGAGAGCTAGCAGTTGCCTTTTCTGGTTGTTGAAGACTTCCCCCAAATATATACTAATAAACTATTAGCTCTCTTCCTTTAGTAGATGACCTTCCAATTTACTTTTGTGAGATTGTGGGCTCTTCATTGTGAATGTCATGCCTTCTTCTGTGAGTAAAAGCTCATGACAAATGAGTTTTAATTTTTCTTAACACTGGATGAGCGTAAGAGCACCCAAGCTGACTCAGATGAATGGTTCATCTAGTTCAGTGGCAGGTCAGATGCCTACAAGCAGGGCACAAAGGCCAAAGCTGTTTTTGCCCATCAGGATTGTTATTCTGAGGTTACTGCCTCTAAACATGGAGGTTCAGTTTACACAATGTGGCTAATACCTGTTGCTGGACTTAGAATCTGTAAATTTATCTAATCCTCTTTTAAAACCAACAGAACTAGTGTTGTTTCTATATCCCAGAGGTCCCCAAACCTTTCTGAGCTTGTGGGCACATTTGGAACTCTGACACAGAGCCCTACCTGGCACTGGCCACTTTCTAAGAACAGTTTGTAGGAGCCGGAAAAGGTGTTGGCAGGCACCGTGGCACACACGGGCACCTCATTGGGGAACCCTGCTATATCCTCTGGCAATGAATTTAGAAGTTATGCATCCTTTTATAAGCATTTGCCATACCCCGCAGTTGTCTGTTCTCCAAACCAAAAAGCCGAAGATGCCTTAGGTTTTCCATAGAAGGGTGCTTCCCCAGTGAGCACTAGCTGTTAGGTAATGACTTCATTCACAGGCATGTCAGACCTAATGTCATGATTGAGCTTTATGAAATTATTCAAGGAGGAGAGAGAGTGTATAACACTAGAATTGGGGGCACCCTGTCTAATTGAGGGGCAATAGATTCAAGATGGACGAGAAAGCATTTCACTCAGTGAATGATTAACAGTGACACTGTAAGCAGAGTTACACTCTTCGAAGCCCATTGACTTCAGAGAACTTATAAGCATTCCGGTCTTCTTAGGACTGCATTGTAAATTGTGGGGTTCATTGCTAGTGAGTGTAGTGATGGCCACAAGCACAGATGGCTTTACAAGGGCATTACACAGATTCACAGAGGATAGATCCATCAGCTGCTACTAGCCACGATGTCAATACTAATGCTAGGACAGAACATCTGGGTGAGGCCTAGCAAACACTTGTTTTATGGTAGAGATATCCCCCCCCAATCCGACAAATTGTTCCCTTTTGCCCTACTGACAAGGCAGTGCCACTGAATTTCCTATAAATGAATGCCCCATGGCTTCTGCTTGCCTGCCTTCAAGTAGAGGAAGTAACATATGAGCAGAAGTTTACATGTACTGAGTTATATGTGATCGCTATAATTTATGTTGTTGTGGCCATTCAAAAAAAGTCTGTTGTCATTGCATGGAATCAAGCATGTGTGCACTGATTTAGCTCACACATTATTTACCTATGTTGTTCGCACAAGCATTCACAGGTAAGACATTTGGTGATATGTCATATGTGAATCAGTTTTACTGGACCCATCAAGAAGATAACACAAGGTAAAAAGATTACAGCTTTAATAGTCAATACTGTAGTCTGGATAAGGAACACATGTCATTCCAGTGTAGGTCAGAATTGACTTCCTGAATTTTTGTACTTTCTGCTTTTTTGATCATCCCAATTCAGTAGTGATTTCCTTCCCCCCCCAAGTATTAGAACTTCCATGGGCACATGGAGTTCTTCCATTCATTTCAGTAGAAGAAGTAGGTCCATGTGCTGACCTGCTCCCTCCACTGAAATTCACAGAAAGGTCAGCCACATAGTGCCCATTTTATATATCATGCAAAAGCAAATAAAGGTTTGAGTTAAATGAATGCTCAGTGGGGGGTGCACCTCCCTTGACCAGAGTAGTTTTATGATGTGTGGTTTTGTAAATGCATGCAGGTCATACAGTTTACACTCTGAGTTGCAGCACACTTACTGTATTTACTAGAAAGGAATACAACCCTAAATGTAAGATGCCCCCTAGAAATGCAATACCCCCCCCCAATATTACTGAACATAACTGTAACTTTTATGTGAATGTAAGATGACCCTCTCTGTCTCTCTTTTTTTCTGGCATACTTGGGAAAAACCATAGGCTTGCATAACAGTAAATACCAGTAAAACATCTTATAGTGCAGTAAGCAGAATCACACCCTTCTAAGCCCATTTGATTGTTAAGCATATATCTAAAAATTAGAGGTGTAAAATTGTGCGTGTCCATCGGAAGCAATTAGAAATATTTCTAGCTTTTATCTCAAAATTATGATTAAAACCTGGTAAGTTAGAGTTTACTGTAGGTGCTAATAAACCTGATTTAATGTATTTGGGGGGCTGATAATCAGTGTAATCAGTGTATTAAGTAAGCAGTTGGCATGGGGGGGCGCGTCGTGTGAGCGGGAATGGACGCCTGAGCACAAAGCTCTTCTCCAACTTATATAAATCAATATAGACAATCAACAAAAATCTGCAAAATGAACATTGAAAAATCAGCAGAGAGAGAGGCAACTGTCTAAAAATCATCAAGCTGCAGAAATTTGGTCAGCAAGCCCGTTTTTTCTGAGATTTATCCAATGGTGAGTTTGCTGAGGCGGGAGTCGCAGCCAATCTAAAATGGCGGATGAGAACATAGAGGACCAAGAAATCCTCACTGGAGGACAGGCTGCTATTAAAAATGGGATCTTTACTTAGACCTGTCCAAGACCAACTAATAGAAATAAAGAAAAATATAATTGTGGCCCCGGTCACACATGCCGAATATTGCGGGGGGGAGGCGTGGCTAATTGCCCCGACGCAGTTTGATGCGCGATTACGTGATCAGACACGTCGGCGGCACACCACAGGTCCTTCCCTCGGCGCCAGCGGGTAAACAAGGGACCGGAGGGGAATGCTGCACGCTGGCGCGATCACACCACAGGCGTCTGGAGGCAGCCTGTGCCAAATGTTTACTAGTACCTTGGAGGTACTAGTTTTTTAAGGTGCATTGTCAGTGGTAAGCCACCGGTGTGCTCCACTTCCCAGATGTTGGGGTGTGATCGCGCCCGGATAATCTGCCCACCATCCGTGCTTCTCCCGCGGCAATTTTGCCATGTGACCTGGGTCTGAGACTCTCAAAAAAGCGGAGTGCGCAATGACTCTGGCTGAAATGGTAGAGGAAGAAACACACATTTTGCAAACTGAAAATGCATCTATGCAACAGAAAACCCTCTCTCTTGAAATGGAACTGCATAAGAACAACATTAAATTTAGAGGATTTCCGGAACAACTGAATACAAATGAGGAACTTTCTGACTTTATGGCAAACTGGCTAGCAATTATCCTTAATCTAGAGAGGATGTAGTACCAGTGATTGTAAAGGCCTATCGCATCGGTTCTCCAAGAAACACCCAAAGGAAAGGTCGAAGAGATATTGTAATAATGGCTTTAGACTATAGAGTAAGGGGGGAAAAGATTATTAAATGAAGCAAGAGTGAAAGGAACATTTGATTTTGAAGGACATAAAACTGAAGCATTCCCAGATTTACCTTCTGAGGCCATAAGTAAAAGGAGAGAGCTAAAGCCCACTACTGTGAAACTACAAGAGGCTAAAGTTAAATACAAATTGATTGGTTCAGCAACTCTACAAGTTATACATAAAGGTGAACGTCTGCAAGCAACAAGCTCTGCATATGGTCTGACTTTATTACTGAAACTAGGTTTAAAAACCCCAGATGACGCTGACAAGAGAAACTCAAAACAGAAGTTGCAATTTAACACAACTCCACCCAGGGAAAGTAAAATTCCAGTATCTCATGCAAGAAGAAACACAGAACATTGATTTTTGCTATTATAAATATATTAGGTTATGTCATGTTTTTTTAAGCAATAGAATGTTTTGCAGCACATTAACAGTAAGATGTTTTTTGTGTAAATAATACTACAGAATTGGTTATAGGGGTAGGTTGGGAACGAAGGGGAAAGCATAGTTGAGGCTCTTGGAAGAAGGTACCTTAAAACGGTCAGGATTTTAATTCTGATTTCCTGCTTTTGGTTGCAGGAACATGTAGGTATTAAGGTTAGTTGTTAGATAGGAATAGGTTAGGTAAGCTTGTAGTTAAGGACGTTATTTTAGAGTTTAGTTTTCTAATTTTAATTTAAATTAGTTAGTACCAAGTAAGAATAAGTTTAGGAACAAGAATAGTGATAAATAATACAAAGGAATAAGAATGGAGAGTAATGTTTTTGTTAAAAGTTAATACTGTAGCTGACTTGTTACTGAAGAGCTATTGTTCCAAATTGTTATATAAGGTTATATTGTTAACTTATTTATTTTATTTTATTTTAAAATAATAAAACTTCGCGACCCCATGGACCACATAACGCCAGGCCCTCCTGTCTTCCGTCATGCTCTGGAGTTTGCTTAATTTCATGTTCGTTGCCTCGATAACACTGTCTAACCATCTCATCCTTTGCCGTCCCCTTCTTCTTTGACCTTCAATCTTTCCCAGCATCAGGGTCTTCTCCAGTGAGTGCTCCCTTCTCATTTGGTGGCCAAAGTATTTGAACTTCAGTTTCATTATCTGGCCTTCCAGGGAACAGTCAGGGTTGATTTCTTTTAGGATTGACTGATTTGATCTCCTTGCAGTCCAAGGGACTCTCAATAGTCTTCTCCAGCACCATAGTTCAAAAGAATCTATTCTTCGGCACTCGGCCTTCCTTGTAGTCCAACTCTCGCACCCATACATGACTACTGGGAATACCATTGCTTTGACCATGCAGACTTTTGTTGGCATGGTGATGTCTCTACTTTTTATCATGCTGTTTAGGTTCGCCATCGCTTTCCTCCCAAGGAGCAGGCGTCTTTTAATTTCATGACTGCTGTCACAGTCTGCGGTGATCTGGGATCCCAGGAACGTGAAGTCTGTCACTACTTCCCCGACTTCCCCTTCTGTTTGCCAAGGAGTGATGGGGCCAGATGCCATAATCTTAGTTTTTTTGATGTTGAGTTTCAAGCACACTTTTGCACTCTGCTCTTTGACCCTGAGCAAGAGGCTCTTTAGGTCCTCTTCACTTTCTGCCATTAGAGTGGTATCGTCTGCATATCTGAGGTTGTTGATCTTTTCCCCAGCAATCTTAATTCCCGCTTGTGATTCATCCAGGCCAGCATTTCGCATGATGTACTCTGCATATATATTAAATAAGCAAGGCGACAATATACATCCTTGTCGTACTCCTTTTCCTATGCTGAACCAATCAGTTGTTCCATATCCGGTTCTAACTGTTGCTTCTTGACCCTTATACAGGTTTCTCAAGAGACATGTGAGGTGATCTGGTACTCCCATCTCTTTAAGGACCTGCCATAGTTTGTTGTGATCCACACAGTCAAAAGCTTTAGCATAGTCAATGAAGCAGAAGTAGATATTTTTCTGGTACTCTCTTGCTTTCTCCATAATCCAGCGAATGTTGGCAATTTGATCTCTAGTTCCTCTACCTCTTCGAAACCCAGCTTGTACTTCTGGCAGTTCTCTATCCACGTACTGTTGAAGCCTAGCTTGTAGGATCTTGAGCATGACCTTGCTAGCATGTGATATCAGTGCAATTGTGCAATAGTTTGAACATTCCTTAAGAGATCTCTAGTCCTTCCCATTCTATTGTTTTCTTCTATTACTTTGCACTGTTCATTCAGGAAGGCCTCCTTATCTCTCCTTGCTGTTCTCTGGAAATCTGCGTTCAGTTGGGTAAATCTTTCCTTTTCGCCTTTGCCTTTCGCTTTCCTTCTTTCCTCTGCTATTTGTAAAGCCTCATCAGAAAGCCACTTTGCTTTCTTACATTTCTTTTTCTTTGGGATGGTGGTGATTGCTGCCTCCTGTACGATGTCACGAACCTCTGTCCATAGTTCTTCAGGCACTCTATCTATCAAATCCAGACCCTTGAATCTATTCTTCACCTCTACTGTATATTCATCAGGGATGCGATCTAGGTCAAACCTGAATGGCCTCGTGGTTTTCCCAATTTTCTTCAGTTTAAGTCTGAATTTTGCAATGAGTAGCTCATGATCTGAACCACAGTCAGCTCCAGGTCTTGTTTTTACTGACTGGATAGAGCTTCTCCATCTTTGACTGCAAATTATATAGTCAATCTGATTTCGGTGTTGCCCATCTGGTGATGTCCATGTGTAGAGTCGCCTCTTAGGTTGTTGGAAAAGGGTGTTCGCTATGACCAGTGTGTTCTCTTGACAAAACTCTGTTAACCTTTGCCCTGCTTCATTTTGCTTTCCAAGGCCAAACTTGTCTGTTATTCCAGTTACCTTTTCACTTCCTACTTTAGCATTCCAGTCCCCTATGATGATGAGGACATCATTTTTTGGTGTTAGTTCTAGGAGGTGTTGTAGGTCTTCATAGAACCGGTCCACTTCAGCCTCTTCTGCATCAGTGGTTGGGGCATAGACTTGGATTACTGTGATGTTGAATGGTTTGCCTTGGAATCGGACAGAAATCATTCTGTCATTTTTGAGATTGTATCCCAGTACAGACTTTTGCACTCTCTTGTTGACTATAAAGGCCACACCATTTTTTCTATGGGATTCCTGGCCACAGTAGTAGATATAATGGTCTTCTGAGTTAAATTCGCCCATTCCTGTCCACTTTAGTTCACTGATTCCTAAGATATCGATGTTCAGTCTTGCCATCTCATTTTTGACCACGTCAAGCTTACCTTGATTCATAGATCTTACATTCCAGGTTCCTATGCAGTATTGTTCTTGGCAGCATTGGCCTTTCCTTTCACCATCAGACACATCCACAACTGAGCGTCCTTTCGGCTTTGGCCCAGCCGCTTCACTCTTTCTGGGGTTACTTGTATTTGCCCTCTGCTCTTCCCCAGTAGCATATTGGACACCTTCCGACCTGAGGGGCTCATCTTCCGGCGTCATATCTTTTAGCCTTTTGATACTGTCCATGGGGTTTTCTTGGCAAAAATACTGGAGTGGGTTGCCATTTCCTTCTCCAGGGGCTCATGCTTGGTCTGAGTTTCTCTGCAATTTCTCTACAATTTCTCTGTAGCCTCCCTTAAAGTCATTATCCACGGCATAGCCCACAGCTTCATCGAACCACGCAAGCCCCCTCGCCACGACAAAGGAGTGATCCATGAATAGTGATAAATAATACAAAGGAATAGATATTATAGATAGCTTGCACCTTGTTTAATAAGAATGGAGAGTACTGTTTTGGTTAAAAATTAATATTGTAACTGACTTCTTACTGCAGAGCTATTGTTCCACATTGTTGTATATGGTTATATTGTTAACGTTTTTATTTTATTTTATTTTAAAATAATAAAATATATTTGGGGGGAAGTAAGCAGTTGGCATAATAGAACCACTATAATATGGACATTCTCAAGAAAACCTTTATTTTTAATAAGCAAAATTATGTTCAGGCACACTTTTAAATTAGATGCTGCTTCTATACATATTGTGCAGATTTGTTGTCACCAAGCATCCATATTGAAGTTTTGTTTATATTAAACATTGAAAAATGTATAAACAACATGAATTATCTAAAAGTCGCATTCACATACCCAGTTATCTAGAAGAGAAGATTGGATTTATACCCTGCCTTTCACTACCCAAAGGAGTCTCAGAGCGGTTTACAATCCCCTTTCCTTTCCCTCCCCACAACAGACACTCTGTGAGATAGGTGGGGCTGAGAGAGCTCTCCTGAGAACTGTCCTTGAGAGAACAGCTCTGAAAAAACTTATGACTGATCCAAGGTCACTCCAGCAGCTGCATGTGGAGGAGTGGTGAATCAAACCTGGTTCTCCCAGATTACAGTCCATGCTCCTAACCACTACACCAAACTGGCTCTCTAGTATCAAAATCTAGTATCAATGCAGCCTTATTTTTGATTCCTAGAATATTTATGAATTATGACATAATTACCAACCAAATATCCCCCCCTCTGCTTTTGAAAACTGATGCCATTACTGACTAGATAGTAAGTTTTGTATTTTGTGTTTTCTTCCTTAGGTACAAAGGTCCTCTTTTAGATGAAGATGCCCTTAATAAAGCAGCAGAAAGTGGTCTGGCTTCAGATGACTTCTGTGAACTTTGCGTTTGGTTAAGTTCCCAAATACAACCATTGTGTGATCTGGAAGAGAGCCTCTCGTCGACAGCTGGTAATTCCATGTAGTTTAATGGAATAAATGATGGTGCTTAGTGTTTGCTTCAGTCATAACTGGAAATTCAGCTTCTGGTTCCATTTTGGATGTAAAAAAATTGCGCCGAGCAGTAAAGAAGCACAATGGGACTTCTGTGGCTTTGATATTCTGCTTGTTAATGGAAAAAGTTGTCTCTGCAGTTTTGTCACATGAATGTAGGGAGTCCAATTAACCCCCCAAAAATAGTTAAGGGTGAGGAGGATCAACTGGAACTGAACCTTTATTACAATATTTTTATACCAGCTTTCTCCAAGGATTCAGGATGGCTGATAAGGTTAACAGATGCCAACTGCAATAAAACTATGCCTTAGATCCACACATGGAAATCCTTCCATCTCTGGAAATGCTCTGTTGGATCCAAGTCAATGCAAATAAAAACCAAAATAAGAAGCCCGTCTAAAAAACAACCGCAATAAAATCCAACCTGTAGCACTCCCAAAGGGACAATTAGTAACAGACTCGAGTAAAAGGGCCTCCAACATAAGACCAGTTTACAGGCCTTTTGAAGACAGGGAGCAAAGGAGCCTATGACAGACCCCTGTCTCTTTCCCAACACCCAGGCAGGATTTTCCCACCAAAAAATATTTTAGTTCCCCATAGTGACTGAATTGCCCTCCAGTAGCATGTATTTCTTCTTTGTTTGATAAGCTTAAATTGTCCCAGCCTGTCACAGATATTTGTTCAGGCTCTAGACCCAGTCCAGGAACTTGAGGGAAAGACAGGAGTTATCCTGTTTTATAAGCCCTCATGAAATGGCACTTGAGGCAGATTAACTTTAAAAAACAGAATACAGATTTTATTAAACAGGCAGGGAATATATAAATATGAGGATACATGGTATAGAGGTTGCTGACAGGAGGACGCCAGGCACGCTGGGGGCGGGGCCACGGCCATACAAGGGAAAACCATAGAGTGCCACGTCACTTCCTGGTGACGCGCACGCCAAGGTGGGGTTTCCCCCGGGGCCCGATTCTGCGGCGGCAGAAATCGGGCCTCCAAAGCGGGGGTTTACCCACCCCCTGCCCCCACTTGGCAGCCCTATGCCTGACAGAAATCGCTGACTTCCAAAGTCTCTTCCCTCAGAAGCCAAGCCATTTGGCTACAGATCCAGACTTTAGATTTCAGACAAAGACCAAAAGGTGAATGAATCTTTCCGATCCAGATCAGCTGTTTTTATTTCCTCTCTAAGCTGATGCTGACCAATCAGAGAGTGAGTAGAGCAGCCAATCACATAAGTTCTTTTTTCCAGGGAAGATTAACTCTTGAACTCCCTGACCCTCTGATACAAGCGGCATTTTGAAAAACCTGCTTATCTTTGCAATCTGTCACAGAGCCCTTGGCAGACTTTTTCACAGGCTAAGCCCAGTGACAGAATATCCTAGAATGAGCCAAGGAGGAATGGACCAGTGAGCAGGAGATGACCAGATGAGTATAGCTGCACATGGGATTATAACCGGAGATGTGAACTTTAAGGAGAAGGTTCCAGGTCATGAAGGGCTTTCAGAAGAACTTGACCATAAATTGGCAACCTGTGAAGATGTTGCATGTTTGAAGCAGCTAGTCCCTGGCAAAAGATGGACTGTTGTCTTTTGCATTAGTTGAAGCTACTAGTGTAGCTTCAAGCATGTGAGACGAGATATATCAATAACAATTTAAGCTTTGGTTTTTAATTAAATGAATTCTGATTTTTAATTTGGATTATTATATGTGTTGTTGTTGTTTGTTTCCAAATCAAAGCATACATGTTCTCTCTCATGCAATTTCTAGCAATAACCATCTGGGAAACACTATAACTTTGAAACTGCTAAACTTCCCCGTTATTGTATTGGGAATGGAATCCTTTCATTGTTAATAATTTTATGAAATAATTAATGTTTGGAAATGGAACATTTTCTGCAGAAAATATAAAGCACTATTTTTTTTCAATTTCCTCCCCACATCTCTATAACAAATTCAGAAAGACCTCTGTCTCTTTCAGGCCCTAGAGGCGTAGGTGAAAAAAGATTGTTTTTCCAACCACAACTGCTGACTTCTCTGGAAGATACCTTAATCAAAATCCTTGGACAACTTCTCTCAATGGTTTCATGTAAATGGAATAAAATGTTCAAAAGCAGCAGGCAAGAGAAGTTGCCCCAGCAGTAGTGGTTGATGGGAACTCTAGTTAAGGGCAGAATGACGCCTTCTTCTTTCCAAAGCAGTAAAATGGAGGCACAGGGTAACTTTCCCCTAGGGAAAAGAGTGTTCAGTTGAAAATCCCCTGACGGGAACAAGCGTTCTAGTGAAGAAGGCAAAGGTAGCTGGATCCAGTTTCCCTAGCCCTCCTGAACAAGTGAATCCATTGTGTGGGAACTGTATATTATGCTGTTACCACAGATTAGTATTTGTGTAGTATTAGCTCCCCAAATGCCTTTCTCTTCTTGCCTGGAAGCACTCTTGGGTGCTTTCTGTACCATTTAAGCCATCACTTTTGATGTTGGCTGTCCAGATCTGGTCTCAGTACTGTGAATGTGGCTGCAGATTTATATAATGGCATCGCATTTTTAATTCTTCCTTGCTTATACAGAGGGGGAAATTAGAATTAGCTGATGTTATGTTTTCAGTGTCTGTTTTCCAAGTAAATGTAGAAAGAATAGCTGGGGACTGAAATTCATTCTGTCCTATGAGTAGACAATGCAATTGACCAAGGTCTGGAAAATGTGGTACAATTGCCTATTAATAGGCTGTTTAGAATGATATTTTTCTTAAGATAAATATGTTGCATTCATTCACAGAAACTGCTTTGCAATAATACATGTCTTAAGATGAAAGCCAAACTTTTTATCTGAGCTGGTTCAAAACCAAACATTCCAGCTAAGTTCAATGTGGTTGAACCAGTTACAGAGCCCATGTTTAAAGTTAGCGCTTGAACCATTGCCAAACTGATTCCCCCACTCTTTGTTCTTTTGAAAGATGGAAAAGATGTTGAAGGTTTACAGCTGGAGATGAGCTGTTTTTTAAAAGAACTGGCCTGTCCTTATTCTACACTTGTATCAGGAGAAATTAAAGACCGATTAAAGAAGAAAGAAGATTGTCTTAAAGTCCTATGTAAGTTGACGGAATGTTTTCCTTACAGCACCGGAGTGGGGGAGGGGAAAAGAGTTCACTTTTCCTGTCATCCATGTTTTGCAGCAGAGTTCAAGATGGGCTCCTTCTGTATAGGAGCTTGGGCACAGTGCTTTCTGAGCCCAACAGTGCAATCCTAAGCAGAATTACACCCTGGAGGTCAGTGGACTTAAAAGGATCTAACTGTGCTTAGGGCTGCACTACAGATCTCTCTCTCCCTCTCCCTCCCCCACCCCTCCACTGACTTATAGCAGCCCTCTAAAGTTTTCAAGCCAAGAGGTGCACAGAGGTGGTTTGCATTGCCTTTTTCTGCATAGTGACCCTGGTATTCCTTGGTGGTCTCCCATCCAAATACTGATCAAGGCCAATCCTGCTTAACTGCTTCATAGATCTGGTTCCCATGGCTACATTCCTCATTCACAGGTTTAGTTGTGGAAAGGTTAATGTGACCTGGACTGTGCTTGGTGTCAGCAGGTGGCCGTTTCTGTAGCTGCTGCTGGCAAGAGAGCAGCCATGTGCACAGTCTGGGTCAGGCTGACCTTTCTTCCATAATCATGTACAGTAGGATGTGTTAGTGTAAGCTACTCTAATGGGCTTGGAAAGAAAGGTGGATGGCCCTAAATGTGGATTTCTTAGCAAGGATTCACTATAGTTGTCGATGTTGATTTTAAACAAAGGACACTACATCAAAAACAGGGTTTTTTCATAGGAAATTCATTATCATTAAAAAACAGTGGTAACAATGATAACAGTGCATTGTCTTTGCATTTTTGGGGGTCTTTTAATATTAATTTCCAGGTTTATATCCCACCCAGACTGGCTACAGCATTAGCTTTGCTTGTTTATTGACTGAAACATAAACAGAATTCTCCCCATGTTTTCTTAGATACTTTTATGTCTTATTTCCCACCTACCCCCTTTCCTAGTATTTTTGAGTACAGAACTTCAGGCTTTGCAAGTCTTGCATTTCAAAGAACGTAAAACTTCTCATTTGGCAAAGAATAATGAAATCCATCAAGAGCTCCAAATGATCTGTGATGCCTTGGGTCTTCCAAAGTTATCTGACATTCCAGTCTTGTTAAGCAATGCAGAAGGAAAGGTACAGTGTGCATTTTCTACATTTGAACATCTTACATAAAAAAGTACCACATACCTGTAATGGTAAACAAAAATTTCATATTTAAAGTGATTCAGGAGTCAGTGAGAACAAGAAAGAGAGCTAAAGTGTTTTTGAAAGTTCTTTCATAGTTAGGATAACTACCTGGAACTGAAGGAGATTGTTAAAAAAAATACCTTGGACAAATTAGTGGCTTTATATTATGTTTCTTTTTTTTTAAGGTTAAGGATGTTTTATCAAAAATTCCAAATAGATGTGTGGGTAAACCTCTGCTCAAAACTCCTCTGACTCCAGATCAAACGGTAAAATCTTTTGTTCACTTTACTGATCCACAGTTAAGGGATTAAATGCGTGCTGTTAATGGCTGTCCTTTGTCTGCATTTGGATTGAAATTCAACATACTCTTTCAAATCGGTTTGAGTACAGATAGGCTTCTGCCTTTGTCTGGGTAAAACAACAGGGTTCTGGAATCATTAGGTAAAAGCACGAGGCTTGTATAATTATTTGACTTTTGAATTATTTTTGCTCCGATACTGTAGGAAAGGCTGGAAAAAATCAATGACGCCCTTTGCAGTGAATATGAATGTCGCCGACGCATGTTAATGAAACGCTTAGATGTAACTATACAGTCTTTTGGGTGGTCTGATAAAGCAAAGGTAAGTATGCTATATTGTTTACTTCCTGTAGCTGAGTTTCCTGCAATCTCTAAACAGCTTTATTTTGCAGAACCACAGCTAAAGTTCTCCTCAGTAGCTTTGTTTGTTGCAAGAAAATGGTAACTTTAAGAGACTGGGTGGTGTCTGTGGCTCCGTTCTACTAATGCTTCTTTGTGTCAGCAGCAGCATTTTTTCCTTACAGGAAAAGAGTAATTGGCTTAAATTCAGTGGATTGTATTCTGTGTACTTTTTCTCATGTAGTGATTTAAAGGGGGCATATTCTAATGCAGTCTGTAACCATGTATGCAGCTATGTCTTTTTTGAAGTTGCTTCTGCAGAAAAAACTGAATCCACGCATGATTCACTTTACTGACAAATCCTGGTCAGCCTGTTGCGTGGCACCAGTCTATGGCATCATTCACTGCCATTTTTTAGGCTTTCTGCTATATCTTCATCTTTTGTAACTTTAATTGCAATTAGTGACTGGCTGCACTTTAGCCAGAACATAAATATCAAGTTCCCTCCATTTGTGTGTATGTTAGATGTATAGTTCTGGAAATACTGTCTTTTTGTAGGTGAAAACAGATGATATTGCAAGGATTTATCAACCCAAGCGTTATGGACTGGCTCCTAAATCAACTATTTCATTAGCCCATCTTCTGGCTGCCCGAGAAGACTTATCGAAGATCACAAGAACAAGCAGTGGGATTACACGGGAGAAGACAGTTTGTGCCATCAATAGAGTATGTTTTTTGTCTCTAATGCAGCAACAGTTCTTTTCGTTTTCTTGAACTGGCCTGTTACTAATTTGTACCTGTTATGGTTATAAAAAATTATATAACACTTGGCAATGTATTGGTTGGATCCAAGAGACAGCTTGCAGAAGGACTTAGTGGTGTATTTGGGCTCTATGGGGGGAAGGTGCATTGACCACAGCCAGAATGTGCCCCCCCACACACCACCAGTTAATGGTTGCATTGGGAAGGTGGGAATTTAAAGAGCCAGTGCACTGCTTGTCCCTTCTGCATCTGCTCTCAGGATGTGGAGGAGCAGGCTGTGGGTTTCCCACTTGTTTAACTGGCATGTTTGATTACCTGGCAACCCCAGTTACCCAATGATGCCAGTTAGCACAACTTTTACTGTATTTTGGTTGTAAGGATCTCCTGATTTTAAAAAGGATTTTTGGGACCAGTAGCTCCCTAATTGTGGAAGGTGGGGAAGTATCAGCTTTTCCAGCTCCTTCCATGAGCTTTTCCACTGCATCCAATCCTTATATCTGTTTATCCTCATACTAATCTTGTGAGATAATCTTGATTGTCAAAAGTAACTTCTTATATCAGTTATCAGTGTTAATTTGAACCAGTCTGTAGATATTTGTGAATGCTGGTGACCTATTATAAAGCTGGAGCACCTATATGGAAATCCTATGAAGAGGTATACAACTACACCATCTCAGAGGCTGCACCTTACAGGCTGTTTTTGCTGAATATTGCTCCAGATCTTTAATTGATGGTTTTGTTTAATAGATTCTCTGATTAGGGATCAAGTGCCAAAATATTTTTTTGTGAGTATAAAACACCTTTGGAACTGGGAAAGAGAAAAGAGTTCTCCTGAGATTTTTAAGGATCGGGTAAATTCTATGCCATTTTTAAACTGTCTTAAATTGGCAGTGTGAGGGCACCAGTTCAGGAACTGGCCAAAGTATATTGACTTTGGTTTCATTAGTCTGGGGGAAACTTCAGTTTGAAAAACCATACCAGTTCAGACAACCCTTAGTTTTTGCTAGTATGAGACTGTGGCATAGACAGTATTGTCACAAATAATGTGTGAAATGGCCTGACATGTCTGCAGTACACAGTTAGAAAGAGAATTCAGGGTTTTTAACAGTGAGTGAAAACTCCAGCCCTTGGAATACATAGAAAGAAACAATGAAACATTATACATCCAAGACTGTTGTGTCCTGTACAATAGTTTAGCGGAGGCATGGATTTCTGAAACCTGCTGTCTTGTACAATCTTTCTGTGTAATCTCAAAGCACCACTTTCTTACTGCTGCATTATATTAAGTACTCTACAGCTGTTGATATTTTCTTTCCATGCACAAACTGATGTCTGCCTGGTGCTCCCATTATGATTTTGTTGTCAAAGAACAATGTGAAGGTCTTTCTTTTTTTGTAAATCTGTAACACTGAGTGAGTGCTATTTATGTGCAGTGTGACTTCTGCTACTTCAGAGTAACATTGGTGGCTGCGAACATGGTACATTTTTATTTCCTTCTTGTGAAAGAATGGCATATGAATGTTCACTGGGGAAATATGACCTTATTAAACTGCTTTGTTTACAGGTCTTGATGGGCAGAGTACCAGACCGTGGAGGCAGACCAACAGAAATTGAGCCACCACCTCCTGAAATGCCTCCCTGGCAGAAGAGACAAGATGGTGGTGGGAGAGGAGGAAGAGGCGGTTGGGGAGGAGGGGGTGGAGGGAGGGGAGGAGGTGGTTTTCAAGGGCGAGGAGGATACAGTGGGAGAGGTGGATATGGGGAGTCCTACAGTGGAAGGGGAGGAGGATACAGACAATATTAATGTTAATAATGCAAATAGTACTATTTTCTTCAAGCAGGAAGTGTAGGATAAATTATAGACTGGCTTCACAGCATGACATCTGAACCACATAAACATCCTTACTGATAAACTTGCTATTCAGTGTAACCACTTATGATAAATTTTCTACCTTCTGTTTCTGACATTCATTGTCTTCAAATTGTCCACCTGTGCAGTTGTCCCTCACAACCTGCATAGACATGCTTGGAAGCCCCCAGTGTAGAGACTTCAAGTGTTGTGTACATGCATTAAAATGGGCATATATGAACTTGGTCTCCTGTGATAGCCGAGGATGTAGGGGATGTGCAGTTTTCTATGCATATCTGTGTAGAAAATGTGTCATGCGTGAAGTTTTCAATATTTAGTCACATAAAGATCTGACTTGTCAAAGAAGCCATTGTTTGTTTTTTTGTTTTTGCTTTGATACTCTGTGCGCGTACCCTTGAGTATTTGGATTTTTATGTAATGAAGTACTTTTCAGAAATCTGAATAGAAAAATGGATTTTCTTTTATGTGTTTAGATCTCAGTCATTGTGTTTTACAAAAAATGATACATCCAGGTGGGCAGCTGTGTTAGTCTAAACCAACAGAGTAAAGTTTGAGTCCAGTGGCATCTTTAAGACCAACAAAGTTTTACTCAAGGTATGAGTTTTCATGTGCATGCACACTTCTGAGGAAGTGTGCATGCACCCAAAAGCTCATACCTTGAATAAAACTTTGTTGGTCTTAAAGGTACCACTGGACTCAAACTTTGTTCTAAAGAATGATACAGGAAGCCTACAACACAAGGATCCATTTCCAGTCATCTGAAAGATGTTTCTGAAAAAGTAGAAAGGAATATAATTTCACTAAGCTGGGATGTATATTTCTCATTAAAAACAGGACCCAACAACAGTTCCATGAAAGTGCAGGGGATGGCAATCCATACTACCAGTATGCATCTTAGTAGTTGCTGTGATAACAGTCAGTCTGGACACAGCAAATTTCTGCTCATTTGGCATTCCATAAAATTTGATCTAGGATCCTATGTCAGAAAATGCCCATACAGATAATCAGCTTTTAATCTGTTATGTCACCCTCTGACAGGTGTAGCTGACTGTCCAGAAGGAATCTGTGTGCATGTATGTGGGCAGATACGCCTGGCCATAGATACAAACCTTCCCTTTTCCCCAACTGATCTAAACCTTTACTATTGCAAGGAATTCCAGTTTGTGCATCTGAAGGGGGGGGGGCACTGTTTGACAAACCTGATCTCTTAGAGCAGATGGATGGATTTTTCTTGGTAGCTGCTGACCAGTTCCTTACTTTTATCAGAGCTCAAATCCTCTTTTAGAAGAAAATTCTGTCTTTCTGCCTTTCACAGGCTTATGTACATATGCGTAATGCAAATTAAGTGACAATTCTGCCTGTTATAAAGGGTAGACTTTTAAAAAGCTAAACAGGTCATTTCGCTGTGCCCAGACACAAAGGGAAGTGTTTGTCTACTTAAGTTATGTTTTTTAAAACATTCCCTGCCTTTCCTGAGTCAAGAAACTGGGAACACCATTAAGAATGAGTATCTGTAGCCATTAAAAACAGCTGGCAATCCTGGAGCTTGTGTTTTTAACCTCTACAGAATGCAATAAGTCATTTTTGGAACACTTCTATAAATTAGTTTTTAGAAATATTTTAAACCTGAATAGTTCATTTTGTAAGTCTAGTTTGATGTAAATAGTTGGTGTTATAGAACATTCATTTTTATGTTTGAACACTTTATTTTAAAACGTTTGTTCACATACATGGAGCCTCTATCCAAATGTTGCTTTTTGACCACGAACATACAAATGTTTAAACAACTGTGTTTTTTAAAAAAGGTTTGTTTACATTTGTGAGTACTGATAAATAAAGTACTGAAAAAGTAACATCACTGTATCTTTTAAAATATATTTGTAGAAATGAACTGCATTGGATGCACCAGGAGCACTGGACACTCCCTTAAAATGGCTTCGGTAGCCTTAGAAGGGTATACTAACTCTTGTTATGGGTACACTGCTATACTTTCTAACTAATGTCTGAAGTGACAAGCTGTGTGAATACTTCCTATTTACTAACTTGTTCAAACATTTATACCCCACCTTTCCTTGTGGTTCAAAGTGGCTTACAATAAAAGTTAAAAATATTTCCAGTTTAAACCAGAATAAAATAAACTCCCAGTCTCTCCCCCCGCTAGAAAATGCCTGCCATTCAAACCCCCTCAAAAGCTTTGGCAAACAGGCCTTGCAGTGCCTCCTGAAGATCTCGGAAGGCCCCTGTGATGAACTGACCTCCAAAAGCAGGATGCTTACTGCATCAGATTCAGAGAGCTGGGCGATTAGGGTTAATGCCTCACTGTAAAGCACAGTTTGATTGACAGGCTGCTGCCTTTGTGTACCCTTCTCTCTGATTGGTCAGCACCAGCTGAGGAAAGCTTTCAAAAGTCTTGTCAGAGGGAGTTTGGACTTTGGCTTGACAATAGCAAGTCAGGAGGACTGTGTGTGTGGGACTGATTCCGCAAAAGCAGTTGTTGCACTCTCGATCTTGTTGCACAGGGATCAGTACTTGGTATACTGCTTTTTAACTTGTTCATTAATGATTTGGAGTTGGGAGTAAGCAGTGAAGTGGCTAAATTTGCGGATGATACAAAGTTGTTCAGGGTGGTGAAAACCAGTGAGGATTGTGAGGCACTCCAAGGGGATCTGTCAAGGATGGGCGAGTGGGCGTCAACATGGCAAATGGGGTTCAATGTGGCCAAGTGCAAGGTGATGCACATTGGAGCTAAAAATCCTAAATATAAATACACATTGATGGGGTCTGAACTGGCAGAGACTGATCAAGAGAGAGATCTTGGAGTTGTAGTGGATAACTCACTGAAAATGTTGAGACAGTGTGTGACTGCAATAAAGAAGGCCAATGCTATGCTGGGGATTATTAGGAAGGGTATTGTAAACAGATCAGCCAATATCATAATGCCCCTATATAAATCAATGGTGAGACCTCATTTGGAATACTGTGTGCAGTTCTGGTCACCACACCTTAAAAAGGATATTATAGCTTTGGAAAAAGTGCAGAAAAGGGCAACTCGAATGATAAAAGGGTTGGAACACTTTCCCTATGAGGAAAGGTTAAAGCGCTTTGGGCTCTTTAGCTTGGAGAAACGACGACTGAGGGGTGACATGATTGAGGTTTATAAGATTATGCATGGGATAGAGCAGGTAGAGAAAGAGGTACTTTTCTCCCTTTCTCACAATATAAGAACTCGTGGGCACTCAATGAAATTGCTGAACTGTCGGGTTAGAACGGATAAAAGGAAATACTACTTCACCCAAAGAATGATTAACACATGGAATTCACTGCCACAGGAAGTGGTGGCGGCTACAAGCATGGATGGCTTCAAAAGGGAATCAGATAAGCATATGGAGCAGAGGTCCATCAGTGGCTATTAGCTACAAGGTATATAGAGGGACTCTGGGGCAAGTGATGCTCTGTCTTCTTGGTGCTTGGTGGGGGGGTCAACAGTGGGAGGGCTTCTAATGTCCTGGCTCCACTGGTGGACCTCCTGATGGCACCTGGTATTTTTGGCCACTGTGTAACAGTGTGTTGGACTGGATGGGCCTTTGGCCTGATCCAACATTGGCATCTCTTATGTTCAAACATGTGTTTAATCTGATCCACAAACGATGGTTGGTTCTCTTCCCTCCAATACAGTAAGGATGAAGCTGCACTTGGGAACCATAATGTGTCTGAATTGTAAGAACATGCCCTGCTGTGTAACTAGATTTTACCAGTACTTTCAGACCTTTTATAAGATACCTAAGTAACACTGTCAGAAAGGCGAACAGTGCTGCTTTTCGATTTTTCAAATCCTCTTGGACTTTAAATATGGTGAATGGCTGAGGTTCCAGTTCTTTATATTTTTCACATACACCAAAGAAGCATTTCTTATTGACAGAACTGCTAGGCTGCTTCTCTGCTGCAATGCATTGGCAGCCTCCATCCCCACATTCACTTTCTTATAAACACATGCCATGTACTGACAGCTGGTATTTACTCTCAGGTATCATATTCAGTCTCAAAGAGTAACAAGTTCCCTAAATGGATAAAGTTAATTTTCAAGCCTTGACAAGCTGTCTGAAGATAAATACCAGCTGTCACCAGGTGGGGGGGCACCTACCTTATGGAAAGTTCGTGACATGTAAGTGATGTATTAAAAAAACCCAAAACCATGTCCTTACCTTGTCAAAGATCAGCACAGGAATTGCACCTGTGTGGGAATCTACAAGCTGGCACTCAGCTGAAAGCTTGGGATGCTCTTTAACAATCAGACCAAATAGAGTTTATGGAAGGAACTGCTATAATGTTTTTAAAAAAACCTTTTACCACTTCAATAAATACTAAGGAAATTGCAGTTGGTTCATTCTTTAGAGCTCATGCATCCTGAAATTTAGTTTTCCTGGCTGTCATACAATTCAAAGTGGATTATTTTAACAAAACAAGGATTGCCACTGCAACAGTATTTTTTTTTTCTGTTTCTTCTCATATGGTTTACAGTAGTATTAGATGGCTACTATCAACTCACTAAGGAAGTGGTGTTTTGGTTTGTGGATCTGGACCAAACAGTGTATGCTGGAACACTTTGCTGACAATAATTATGCAGGTTATGCCAATAGCATGGGCACACATTTGGTAGGCTCCTGGTACATGCGATTGTAATGTCTGAAAAGGGCTAAACTCAAAAGTCCTTTATGACCTGTTCACACATTACTTCATCCCCATTTGTCTCTACCTTTTCCAGAGGCCCATGCATGAACTAGTTCTTCAGATTTACAGAGGCCTCAAAACAGAAAAAGTGCTGTGAGGGGTTGTGGTGCCAATATAAATCAACCTTCCATAATTCCCACCTTGTCTGTGTAATCAAACCCTAGAATTCCCCTCTAAGAGGGAAGTTCCACGATGGCCAGGAAAGATTGCCAAAGTCTGTCAGGTCTGGTCACCAGGCAATCCAGCTATCCTGACCCAGATATCTAAGCAGCAGTTTTCTATTTCTATATAAAGAACCTTTAAAAACTTTGTTCTATTGCCAGCCATTGCAGGTGGAACATGGAGGGCAGACTCCAAATCATTTCATCACAAGCTGGGGCTGGCATCCAACCATTTCACAGACTTTATGGGACTTTCTCATTGTACCCAATGCACAGAGGTGCTGCCCTCTCATTCCTTAGAGTCAGCAAACCTTCAGACACATCATCAGGGGGTCTGCAATGGGAAGGGGAAATTTGTAGAAATTACTGACCCCTTTTTCACAAGCAGAAATGCCAGTCCATTGGAGGAACGGCACGGTTAGATACCTGCCAAGGTATCTTATAGATAGGGGCAGTGCTGGCTTCTGTTGTAAGTGATGCTTTTTCTCTATTTTGCTTTCAGAGATTAGAGACTTGATTTGCACCATTCAATTTATACTTTTCCCTAGCTCCCTCCCTTTTACACCATCTTTTTTCCTTATACTTACTTACCTTTTAAAAA